TGTGTAAGCGACGAAGCCACCGATACTGCTGGTACGCCGAAACCGACATGAGCCGGTAGTCAATGTGACTGGTTGCAAACGCATTAACGTCCGGCCATGATCCTTTCGCATCAAGAAAGTTAGCAAGGCACCAAAGCTTGAAGGTCGTTGCAATGTGTTGACGGAAGCTCCGTTGGGGTTCAGCAACCAAGCACAGACTTCGCCGCTGTCTCCCTGAGCTGTCGGTCCGAGGGGTGACTTCAAACTAAAAGTTCCTTTCAGCATGGAACCAGATCGGTTGGTTTAGCACATAGCCAAAACGGGCGAGAGGAACCAGGTCTCGCTCGATATGTAATTCCACACTTGATCCGATACCACAGACGCCAGACCTGTCGCCACCATTGGAACAGTACGTCCCATCGAAGCAATGCACCATGTCGCATGAGGCTAACAGCGAGGAAATCGAGAAATTTCCATGGGCCCCATGATGGCAGCACGAGTGACAGCACGAGTGACAAAACTGTAAATACTGGCGTGGTCCGATTACGTTGTGTCGAGGTCGACAAAGCGATGAATTGAAGCAGCACGTTGAGTTTCTGACGCTTGAGCGAGGCTTTGATGCTGGGTGTCGTCAGACCACCATCTGGGAGAGAACCATGGTCAGTGCAATCAGCAGGTGGCCTCCCAGGGTACGAGCGCGACGGAAACATTGAAGAAATCCCTCGTAAGAATGCCAGTCTAAGAACTCCACGATGGCGTCTTCGACTGGATCTTGACCGAAAAAGATGCCCAGGAACTTGACTGTCTCCCCACGTCAAAGCGTCCTGACGTCAGGGATACTTGGCGGGTTGGTTTTTCGATTTAGTGGCATAAGCACACATTTGTTAGGATTAAACTTGGCTTCAGAGCCGTCACAGTACAGCTGCACCAGGTCGGATATCGTGCTGGAGAGCAGCGTTGAATCATCGGCAAAGAAGACACTGGTGGTGATGTGATCTTCGGTGATGCAAACACCGTGCTCTTCATGTTGTCGGAGCAGATTCCCCAGCGGTTTGATGACCTAAGAAACAATAGCGCTGAAAGCGGGTCACCTTGTTTAGCCCCTCGTGTGGTAAAAAATTGGCGATTGGATGTGACCGTTGAGCAAGAGGTGTGCCTGTAGATTCGAGTAGAAAAGCTTCACTTAATCAGTGAGCGCACCACCGCAGACCATGCGGTCGAGCACCTGGAACATATAGTCCCAGTTGACCCGGTCGTACACCTTCTCGATGTCAATAAACATGGCATAGGCTTCCTCTTTGCGAGCAGTTACGAGATCCTGCAGATCCGCCATAAAGCGCACGTGATGATGAATAGGCCGACCTTGCACGAAAGTCTTCTGATCACCGTGTATAAGCTGAGGAAGAAAGGTTTGAAGGCGATAGGTCAGGACCTTCGACAGGGCTTTTACATCAATGCCAATGAGTGAGATTGGCCGGAAGTTGCCAGGATCATCTCTGAGGCCTTTCTTGTGTAACATGCACACAGCTGACTTGCGTTGGAAAGGGAGGAGCTCACCGCGTGACAGCTGAAAATTGAAAACTGTACTCAGGCATTTCCCAAAGTCCTTACCCGCGACGCGGTAGAAGCCAGCTGGAAGGCCATCCATGCCGGGCGCCGAGTTGGCTTTCATGTGCTTGAGCGCGTCGGTGAGTTCATCTCTAGAAATTGTGGCATTTAGCAAAGCTTGCTCTTCTGATGTAACACGCTTGTCAATCGTGTTCAGCAGCTCTCGTTGACTATCAGGATTTGCACTTGGAGGTGGTCCTGTAGAGCTGTTAGTATCACCCATGATAGCTTCCCAATGGGCTTTAAAACTTGCTGAGATATCAGCTGGGTTTCGCGAGATATTGCCTTCTTGGTTCGAACTTCTTCAATACTAACCCGCCTGAGTGATGGGTCGAGCGGACGGAAGAAGTACCTGGAAGACGCCTCAGCATTATGGACTTGGAAGTCAAAAGCCGAGTCTTGGTTATAGCAACGAGCCTGGGACATGCAGTCGCGGTACGTGTTCAGTGCAGCATGAAAGGCATCTTTAGAGATGGTGTCTCGTTCGATGTGGTATCTTGTCGCTGCTTGGTCTACCGAAGCTTGTGCGATCCTGATTGCAGCGTCGTTTTGGTTTCGTAGCTTACGTTGTAGAGCCTGGATCTGTCTCCTCATGGACCTCTTCCACTGTTCCCAGACCTTGCCCGGGATGGATGCAGCATTGAGATCTTTGAAAACTTGCTGGGCTTCGACACGAATGGCATCCACAACATCTAGGTAATCCAGGAGGTACGCCGGGAAACGCCAGTGGCCGTATCCATGAGATTAAGACATGGAGTGCAGGGTCACTGTATGTGCTAAGTGGTCATCTGTGCCCTTAGGCTCAAAATACGTCGCCGTACAGTGCGTTGCAGAAGTCTTCCGACAACAACGCGTAGTCAAGTCGGTTCTGGCGTGGCTGGGGGGCACTGTAAAATCGTTCATCTTGGTGATGGATGCACCAGGCATCAACAACACCCAACTAACCCAGCCAACTTATACTGGCGCTGCGTCCTGGGCGAGCGCATAAGCGGGGTTTGGAAGAGTCAAGACCAGGTTTGAGATGCGTATTTAAGTCACCAAGAACGATGTGTGTTGCAGTGTCTTCGAAA